TTTTCGTCAGGAAATCTTGCGATGAAACGATACGCTAAATCATGCAGTGGCTTTTCATTCAGCAGTGCAATCATGGTAAGCAAGCTAAAATGTCTGCGGGATGTACCTCACTACTGGACTGCAACTTAGTTGCTTTCCTAAAGAAATCCCGCTCTTAAGAATATAATTAGAGGTGCGTTTCATTAAGATTTCATCAAAATTAAGGCTGCCAACGGCCAGTCCACTCAAAGAAGTACGATGAAGGAAAAACTAATAAAGCCTGGATTTCGTCATTGTGTTGCAGAACCAAAAGAAAAAGTTATTAATTACGTTTTAACTTTTTCTGGATTTAAGAGTTGCTGGAGCAACGGATGATGGATGACAATCTGTTCAGACAAGTAAACTCTGTGCGTGGATGTACTACGCGACATTGCAATAATCATTTAAACGCGCTTATTGCATATCCAGAAACATCCCAATAAATAAATGTGGCGCAAAAAGAAAAAGAACACGGATTATTTTGAAACATAAAATTCGTGCACATAATGCAGTCAACAGTGCAGACGCACTTCTCCGTAGAGTCAATCATCAGTTCCCCTACTCATTCTAACGCACGCATGTAGAGCGTGTGGGGGAATGCTTTCACGTCAAGTGGAGAATGCGAAGCACACGTTTCCAGTTTTAACCAAACTGCAGTCTGCGCTGTTGCTGCTGCTCATAAAACATAAATATAACAGTAGAGTTTTTTCAAATTTTTGTCTTACAAATGCACTGGGAGAAAGAGATCGTGGCCAAGCCCAGAAACGCAGTTTCATGGAGATCAAAAAAAGAGAAGCATTTGGAATGCATGACAACAGTGATGATGATGGCGATGATGACAGAATTTGAAGCAATTCAAGAGAACAAAAAATTAACACAAGAATCTAACGATACTTTAAATGTTTCCAGTCAGTTCCAGGAAAACTGCACCCAAAAAAGATAGCTTCATCTGAACAGTTAACTGTAGCAGTTCAAAAAAACTAATGCTGACAAGACTAGTACAACTATTAGAGTTAAGCAAAAATTATCCAATTTAAGATCCCGAAGAACAAGGCAGGCCTAATAATTATGCCAAAAAATCCAAATTTTTCATAGCTTGTGGAGTGTTGCGGATAAAAACAGTGTC